GTGTGTGTGTGTGTGTGTGTGTATGTGTGTCTGAATTCCAAGCCAACCTTTGATCGAGATCTTATTATTTTGGCTGTTTTTTTGTTTTTTGTTGCCAATGTTTTAACAATCTTTAGTTCCCTAATCAGTTTGCTCTCTTCGTTATTGTTTCCTGTACAGGCTGTATACTCATTTTCAACATCCCAACATGCACATATTGTGTAGAACGTTTCTTTTCAAGAGTGTTACGCTTCTAATGGCTTTTAAACCATGAACTGTTAGAATGCCACTTGATTACGATCAGAATAAGCAATGATAAACAATTTTTATTTTGTTGATTACCATGGGGACATTGGTTTCCAATGGCTAACTCATAATACATAATTAGAAATACTTACAAACATAAATACATTACAAATATAAAGACATACATAATACACAATATTACACCAATACAGAAAATTTCACAAACATGTCATTGCCGGTCGCCTCTGTGCAGCGCCCTGTTTTTAAGCTAGGGTTGTCGTGTCTTGCTCAAGGACACACCCCAGCGACCACCCTTCTGATCTCTGCGTCACAAAATGTATGAATCTAGTTTAAATGTGTCATTGCTAACAATAACTATCCATTTATATCATATGCGTGTGACCGTGGGTCTGTTTGTAAGTGGAATCATAACAATAAAATACATATTTTGTGTATGTATGTGTGTAAAATGTTTTTTGAACTAAACGAGAAGAGCCAAGTGTGCCCGAACGGCTGTGTAGACTTCCCCGGCAGCGATTCCAGCTACCTTATCTTCTCTTATCTTTTCTTCTCTTCTCTTCTCTTCTCGATCTTATCTTATCTACCGAATACCGGATCAACTTATCTTATCATGTCTATCTTATGTTATCTCATCTTATCCTATCGTATCTTATCTACCGGATCATCTTATCTTCTCTCATCTTATCTTATCTTATCTACCGGAATATCTCATCTCATCTCATCTCCCCATTCTGTGTTATGCGCTAAGCCAAGTGTGTTCGCATGGCTGGGTAGACTACCCTGGCAGCGACTCCTGCTGCCTTGTCTCATCTCATTTCATCTCATCTCATCAACCGGATCATCTTATCTTATCTTATCTATCTTATCTTATCTCAGCCCAGGGCCAGTAAGTGTGCACGCACGGCTAGGTAGACTACCCGGGTAGTGAGTCCTGCTGTCTTATGTTATGTTATGTTATGCTATTTCATATTATCTTTTCTTATCTTATTTTACCTTATCTTATCTGATCTCAGCCCAGAGCCAAGTGTGCCCCCACGGCTGGGTAGACTACCCTGGTAGTGACTCCTGCTGTCTTATGTTATGTTATGTTATGTTATGTAATGTTATGTTGTCCTATCTGATCTCAGCCCAGAGCCAAGTGTGCCCCCACGGCTGGGTGGACTACCCGGGCAGTGAGTCCTGCTACCTCATCTCTGACTACCAAGTCCGGTACAACTACAAGATGGCGTCGGACCGCTGCCACACTCACGAGGGTCAGCTGGTGAAGATCGACACGCAGAAAGAGATGGTGATTTTGTTGTTGTTGTTAGTAGTGGCGGTATTATTGTTGTTGTTGGTTGTGGTGTTGTTTGTGTTGTTGTGTGTGTGTGTGTGTGTGTGGTAGCCTATCCGTTCGAAATGTTTGGAGCCCCGAAGG